ACGGAAGATGGTGGACAGAACCTACTACACGGATGACGCGGAATTAACTTATTAGGAGAAAGATCATCTTATATCATTTATTATTGATGTTGAGAATTACAATATCAATTATCGAACTCCTGCACATTATGGTCAATACATGCCACTAGTGCACGTGCTGACCTGTGATAACATCCATGGAGATGGCACGGTAAGATTTTTTTACTATTATGACATCCGTGCATCTTTTGCATATATTCTTCTAAAGCTAAACTACATTGCTAACTATGATGTTATTATTATGTTTTTTCAACAGAAAATCCCGAAGGATTGTGTGCCTGGTCTAATGTTTCTGAAAGGTTGCCTTGATGTTATGAGCTTACGGCCAGGTCATCCTAGGCTTCACTGTTGTTCTTACCGGATTTCTAAAACCAGTCAATACATGACAATCAAAGATTATAAAAAAAATGTATGGACAATTGTAGGGAGCTACTTGAAAGCAACATTGTGCGAAGCGCAAGAATTGAAGACAAGATAATCTCCATTCTCCATAATGGAGAGTCAGGGCCTATCTTATTTTATGCTATTTTACCTTAGAGAGGGTAGTTAGGTCCTGGCTAATACTCATGATCATGTGCTAAGAACAATTAAGTAGGGTTGGTTAGATGACTATGATGGTGATGAGTATTTTATAATAACGAGTAGAAGTTGTATGATGATGAGTAGGACTTGTTATTATGATATCAATGATGAGTTATTTATTATTATGATGATGCATGATGCTAAGTTGTTATATGAGCATGATGAGTTATTATATATATCAGTGGGTGAAATGAACATAGAATAGATTCAAGTGGAGGCAACATGTGGTGCACATCGAAAGTACTACTAATCCAAACTAGATCAAATTTGGATTAGTAGTACTTTCGACATGCACCACATGTTGCCTCCACTTGAATCTAATCCATGTTCATTTCACACGTTGTTATATATAATAACTAATCATGGTCATAAAATCATATGATGAAAATACTGTATATAAAACCTGTACAAGTAGTGACAATAAGCTGCATTTTCAATAATACAGGAAAATTTAGCACTAGCGCTTTTCTAAAAAAACGGTACTGCTACTTACTATTATAAGTAGTGCTTTCCCCTACCAAGCACTACTGCTTACTAGGTATAGCAGTAGCGCTGGTTTTACAGCGCTACTGCTACTAGTTAGTTGTAGCGCCTTACTAGTAGCGCTTGTACAAGCGCTACTGCTAGCTATAAAACAAGGGCTATTACTAGGGTTATCCCTAGTAGTGCACTCCCATCCCACTTTGATTCCAGCTGATCAATTGTGCATAGTGGCCACCAAACTTGTTCATGTTGTCATGGATGATGGACCATCTATGTTGGAGAGAGGCCACATTGCGGGTAGTATTGATAGGATGTGGCTTCACATATTTCTTGTGTTCATGATAGTGCTTGTGGATCTTTTCCCAATACGTGTTGCCCCTTTTATCCGTGCCACATATAGTATCGATGCTTGTGGCTAACTAAGATTCAACTAACAAAGCATCCTCAACAATTGTGAATGTAGCTCATGCATTGGGTATCATTAGCGTTCTTTTCTTTGTAGTGCACGATGTCCCCCAACATCGAAGATAAGGCAAATTGTATCCCCAAAGTCATATTCCATAGGTTTTGTAGGTTCTTGACCCTCATTGATCATGTCTGACATGAAATTGTCGTAAAATCGTCATGATTTCAAAGAAACTAAGGGCATATGCAACATACTGATCTAAAGACATATGCAACTAGTTGATCTAATGGCATAGCAAATATAACGAACAAAGTGCTACAGAATGAAGCAAAATTTCACCATATCCCGCTGGGACATTTCGTCGAACAGGACCTGGGCAAACAGGGCGCTAGCACTGCCCGTGCTTGTCCGCGTCCGTTGAAGTTGCAGCGAGTCGCACACCTAATCGGCTGGTGCCTCCATTTGCGTAAATCCGTCTAGAACCGCTCATTCGGCTGTCAAATCGGTGCCGGTCGTGGTCAAGGCGGATAACGTCTTCCTTATTGGCGCCAGGGCAGACGCACCTCCTGGTAATGAACGATGGTGCCTTGCCACTAAAATACATGATTTTGGTGTCTATATAGGCAGCAAGGTATATAAGACCTATGGGCGGTGATAGATCTAAATATATTTTTGAAAATTCAAACATGACTTTTTTAGAAAAGCAAAAAATATTGAAACAAAAACAATTATAAATTTGTGATTTTTTAAATTTTTGGAAAGCACAAACATTTTCTGGGAATCTCAAACATTTTTTGAAATGTTGAACAAATTGAAAACACAAACTTTTTTTAAAACATTAGCAATATCTGAAACCCCAAACAAAATTTGGAAAAGGAGAACATTTTTTAAATTCATGACTATTTTTATAATCGCAAAAAAATGAATTTGCCAAAAAAAATAAACATAAACATTTGTTTGAGCTTTTGAACAATTGTTGAAAAGCGCAGTCATTTATAAAATTCCTGAACACTTTTCTGAAAAAGCAAACATTTTAAAAAACTACGAATAAATTTCAAAAACAGGAACATTTTTTGAAGTTTTGAACAAGTTTCAAACATTTTCTAAAGAAATGAAAAGAAAGAAGAGAGAAAATAAATAGGGAAAAGGAAAATAAATGGTTCAGGAACCTCCTAGAAGATTCCCAAAACCGAAAAAACCCAGCTGGGAACCTTCCGAAACCGGCATCGCTGAAACTTCTTAACGGGCAGGCCCACCTGTGTGCGTAGCCCCGACAATTTTTTTTCGAGGGTACGCCAATGACGTACTTTGGTTTTATAGGAGAGAAAATATGTACAAGGCGTAGCCCTCACAAATTGACACAATAAGCGTCATGTAGGGGTAGTTCGTCTGCAGCTACTGCTTGCCGGCCCGCATGGAGCAAGCGCAACAACCCATGTAAGATCAGGTATGTCGGAGTGGGTCAAGCCTGTGGGCATAGATCAGCAAATTTGACAATTTTGACCTGTGGATGAAATCATTTCACAAAATGAACTGCCCTTAAAAAAAGTTCACTCAACTGACCTTTTTGAGTGGCGCCCGACACGAAGGCGCCACACTACACTGTGCAACGCCTGACTGACAGGCGTTGCATGCCTAGCCAGCATTGCACCTGGGTGATCCGAAAATTACTAAGTCAGTGTACAGCGCGGCCTAGCCTTTAGGCGTTGCACTAGTGGCTGCTTCATTTTGTAGTCAGATGGCGGGTGAAGACGTCAGACGTGCGGTGCATTTGATTTGGAGGTCAAGAAGGAAAGGAGATTTGGAGCTTTGAACTGAACCACGTACGCGTGCTATGCTATGTGAGCAAATTGACCAACCAAATAAGGTGGACGTCAAATCTGTCACTGTAGCTAGCTACCAAGACAGAGCTAGCTAAACGCAAAGCAAACCCACACCTACGTACATACGACAGATGGATGGATAGATAGCCCGGCGGAGCTTCTCATCTCACCGGTGAGATGAGGTAGCCGCCGACCGGAGACCAACCGATCGACATCGACCAGCTGCACTGCATGCATGCAGAGCTTTCCTTTCACCCACACCCTGCAGGTTAACAGTTTATATCTTTTTTCTTTTCGGGATAGTACAAGTAAATAGTGCTTCCCCACACGATGTCCAGCCGGCTAGTGCGTCCATCTGGGGAGGAGCGGGAGGTGGAGTACGTGCGTGGCTGCATCGCTCCGCAGGATTTGGCTGGTACCACTCTTGCCACGTTGCTGCAGGCACCTGGCCATAGAGAAGACACGGAGTGAATAACATGAAACTATCTTGCCACGTGGGGCTCACCCGTCGTGACGGCCAGCAAAACGGTTCGTACTAACGGAGTTCACTTTCGTGCCATGTGGACCTAATGGGTGGGCTCCGGCTGTCATAAGCCTGATGAAAGTTTAATCACATATCTTTTGAGTTTTCTGAAACAGCAAACAACTCAAGTGGTAGGTGGCTGTTATGTTTGTAAAGGCGGTAGGTTTTTAGAACCCTAACCTGTACAGTGATAGTTTCATGCTGTTCGCTGCAAAAATATGTTACGGTACCCGTAGCATGTGTGATTAGCAGCATAGGTCAAAGATGCTAGTTTACTAAACTAAAAAAGAAGAAGATGCTAGTGTACTCAAAATACTAGGAAGAAGTGTCGGCGATAGCGCCTGCATGCAGATCTAGCTTTACGTCGATCTTTCTTCTTGATGGCGTGTTTGATTTCTTGTTGGCTGCCGGATCAGTCTTTCGGTCATCTCTGCGGTTTTGCGGACATCAAGTTTTTCTTCTAACCCCTTCGTTCTTAAATATTTGTTTTTTTATATATTTCAAATGGACTATCATATACGGATGTATATAGACATATTTTAGAGTGTAGATTCACTCATTTTGCCCCGTATAAGTCACTTGTTGAAATCTCTAGAAAGACAAATATTTAGAAGCGGAGGGGGTAGATGCACATGACATGTGTGAACAATAAAATCTAAACAATTGCCTAAAAAGCCCAAAGAAAATTTCAGATACTATATTTTTTGACAACAAACATGGTTGACTATTCTACACACCAATGACTTGAAGAAATGGCATTCGTGGTCCTCTAAAAAACATTTTTTCAAGCACTCTGTATGTTATTTCTTCACGGAAATATGCACCCAGGTAAACACTCGATGAGGTTTGTGTTCCAAAATGAAATTAGAAATATATTTTTTTGAATTATTTGCCATTTTTTCAGATTTTGTTACTCATGCATCCGGGTGCATATTTGAGAAGACACGACTTTTGAGTGTTTCACACGCATGAAAGATCCTGTAGCGTGAAGTCCTGAACGATGTGCCTATAAACCTCTGCACGGGAGTGCTGATTACAGAAGCTACCGAGCACCCTTCTCGAAGACACCCTCACTCACACGACGACACACAAGCGCAGCAGCACGCACGCACGCACCAGCGATCAAGAGCTGAGCAGCTTCAGCATGGCCGCCGCCGCCACGGCCACGGCGCCGTCAGCCGTCGCGCCGCCGGGACCGCGTCTCCTCCCCCGTCGGGCATCGCCAGGCTCACGCAGGAGGGTGAGGCCGCTCCCGCGGTGGGTCGTGTCCGCGTCCACCTCCAAGAGCCGAGCGCCGAGGCCGCGGCCCGCGTCACCGGCGTCGTTGTCGCTGGACGCGACGGCTACGGCGGGAAGGAGACCAGTGGTGAGGGACTACGTGGAGGCTGCGCGGGAGATGGCGCGGCGGCCGGACGGCGGGCCTCCGAGGTGGTTCGCGCCGCTCGAGTGCGCCGGCGGCGAGCGCGTCCCCGGCGCGCCAACGCTGCTCTACTTGCCCGGTATGTGTGTACGCGCACCTCTTCGTGGTATCTTTTCGCCGTCGTGCGCGCATTTCTTCTACCGCTCGCGTTGAAATTTCTCCCTCCGCGTATGGTCAGAGCATGACCATACCGCATGAACATTCTCAGGCTTTCCGGATTCATGGCAGAGCGTAAAAATAAGACTCATGGCAGCAATATCTTCTTGACCAGAAACCATAAAAATAAAAAACACTTTGCAAATCTCACAGACATGCTCCGGTGCACGGACCACGTGCTGACTATAATTGGCATGGCAAAGCCGGTCTTTCTTCAGCAGTTGGCAGCCGCAGGATCAGATGGACAGTGACCTCTGTACTACTACAACAATGTCCTATTCCTGGGTTCAGTTGCGGAGCCACCGAACCAGGGCTTTGATTCTTTTGCCAGATTCAGACGTGTACCAGAAATACAGTTCTCCTCCTATGAAGTCGTTGCCAGATCATTTTTGTCATGTGTCTGCATGATTGCAACATTTTTCTCATTGATCGAGTCACTTTGCTTCCTGAGAAATGGAGTGACAGTCTTCAGTAATTGTGGTCTTGCAGGAATCGATGGAGTTGGATTAGGGCTCATCCGGCACCACGACAGATTAGCAAAGTAAGACCAATCACAAGAGATCCAAGATTGTGTCTCTCTTTTTTCACCCACCACTGCAGCTAATGACTGTCTGTGTTCTACTCTGCAGGATGTTCGACGTTTGGTGCTTGCATATACCCGTCCAAGACCGTACGACCTTCCAAGGTGTGTGATTCTCGTGTGGGTTTTCAGAACTAAAGCACACAAATATCATACTTCATTCTTCAAGAAAATGTTCATCTTGGAGTATTCCAGTATGACTATTGCCACATATTCTGGGGCCTTGCTGATAAGCAATCTGGAACTTGGGCGTTGGATGCAGGTCTTGTTGAGTACGTGGAGAGGACAGTGAAATCAGAGAGGTCACGGGCACCGGACAGACCAATCTATCTTGTTGGAGAATCCATCGGAGCATGCATTGCTCTCGCCGTGGCGGCGCGGAACCGAGACGTCGATTTAGTACTGGTCCTAGTCAACCCAGGTCTTGCTTCCATCATCCATGGCTTCTGCATGCAATGCTCTGTTTTTCCTTTCGGTGACAGTAACTTCTTACTAACCAATCTGCATTTTGGCATTCATCTTCAGGGACATCTTTCCACAGGTCACAGCTGCAGTCTCTCTCAGCACTCCTAGATTTGGTCCCTGATCCATTCCATTTAAGCACTCCACAGTTCCTAAATTTCCTCACAGGTATGGCACTATCTCCATGATGAAACTTTCTAACTTGCTGTTAGATGAACAGCAGACTTTGATGTGCATCTACTGATCACAGCTCAACTCTTTTAGGCAACTTCATGAAGATGTCGACAAGATTTGATGAAGCTGGTCAGGTATTGTCAGAGGTCACCAGTGGTTTGCTGCCTTCTCTCATGGTGAGCTGCAAAATATTCAGGAAATTGCTTCTCTTTATATATATTTTTTGCCGCAGTCCTAATGATGCTTTTGTGTGCTTCTTTCTGCAGTACCTAGCTGATATTTTGCCAAAGGAATCCATTGTGTGGAAGTTGAAAATGTTGAGGACGGCGGCATCATATGTCAATTCTCGCTTACATGCAGTCAAAGCCCAGACCCTGGTGGTTGCTAGGTATGTATGATCTGCAGTAGTCACACTGACAAAAATATATCTGTGATCTAAGGAAATATTCCCTTACAAATGATGTGAAGAGTAGTGTCCAAATGCTTTACATCAATCCTGTGAAACATGCCAATGATTTTCCTTTTGAGCCTATTATGCTCATTTACCAGAAATTGGTGATCTTATTTTCAGTGGAAATGATGAACTGCTGCCAAGCCGCGACGAGGCTGAAAGGCTACGTGGCACGCTAAAGAACTGCAGAATCCGTCACTTCAGGGACAATGGCCACAAAATCTTGTTGGTAATAAAGATAAAAGTAGTTTTCTTAGCTGTGTATATCCTTGGTTGCACTTGAAACCTACTTCTTCCATGGACCAAATTACCAACATCACCATTTGCATCAACTATAGCATTCAAGCATTTCAAAATTCTAACCTGTTACTGCCCAAAAACCTGGCAGGAAGATGGATTTGATCTAGCGACAAGCATTAAAGGATCTACATACTATCGCCGCTCCAGGCAGCCAGACTTTGTTTCAGACTATCTACCGCCAACTCCTGATGAGCTCGAAAAGGCGATTGATCATGACAGGTACCATTTCTCTAAAATTAAAGCTTGATGGATTGTTATGTGACTACTAAACTGCTGCTTAATTTCCTGAAACTTCAGGCTCCTGAATTTTGCCACCGACCCGGTGATGCTATCGACACTGACTGATGGGAGGATAGTGAGGGGGCTGGCAGGGCTGCCAAGGGAGGGCCCTGTCCTGTTCGTTGGGTACCACATGCTCATGGGGTTTGAGCTTGGGCCCTTGGTCACAGGAGTGCTGAAAAGCACTGGAATCCACATCCGCGGCCTAGCGCATCCATTCTTGTTCAACGAGAGTTCAGAGCAGCTCTTGCCGGATACGTCATACTTTGATCTCCCCCGGATCATGGGTGCGGTGCCTGTCACTGGGGTGAACTTTTACAAGCTCCTTTCAGAGAAGCAGTTCGTGCTGCTGTTCCCGGGAGGCGCGCGCGAAGCTCTTCATAGGAAGGTAAGAATTTGGTATGGAGAGCAAAACATATCTTGTGGACAGTAAAAACATTGATTGTTTTGGGACATGATATGGTTGTTTACAGGGGGAGGAATACAAGCTTTTTTGGCCTGAGCAGTCTGAATTCGTGCGGATGGCTTCAAGGTTTGGAGCAACAATCGTACCATTTGGAGTGGTTGGAGAAGATGATATATGTGATGTGAGTGCCACTTCAAAGTATATGTCACCTTACTCTGCCATATCCTTGATTTATCTAATGTATACAAACAATATTTTTCATCTCAGTTGTTGTTAGACTACAACGATCTTGTGAAGCTCCCATTTTATGACGCCATTGACAAGAAGATAAATGAAGGTGGCCTAAGAAAGCTAAGGTAATTTTAATCTTACTTTAGAACCAGAAGTTTCTTTTTGGGGTCCCAGATATTTTGCCTGTAAGAGATCATTGATCTTGATTTATCTTCTTGTTTCACAGGACTGATTCTACAGGAGAGATAAAAAATCAGGATATGCATCCTGTAGTGCTTACGCCAAAAGTGCCAGGGAGGTTTTACTTCATCTTTGGGAAGCCTATTGAAACAAGAGGTAACCAGTTGCACTTACATTTAGTAGCCTGAAAAAAAAATCCATGTTCTCATGGCAAGTCAACATACACTACAATGTTGTTCTTTTTTGATAATCAAAAAATGAGTCAAAATGCATGCAGCTGTATTTCGGAGACCCGCTGTCTGATTAGGTTTGCTTCTTGTGTTTTCGATTGGTTTACTTGTTTGCACAGGGAGGGAGAAGGAGCTAAGAGACAAAGAGAAGGCTCAACACCTCTATTTGCATGTCAAATCTGAAGTGGAGAGCTGCATCAAGTATCTGAAGGAGAAGAGAGAGGAGGATCCCTACAGGAGCATACTGCCCAGGCTTCTGTATCAGGCAACTCATGGTTCTGATGCAGAAATACCCACATTTGAACCCTGAGGCTGAGAGGAGCACTTCAAGAACACCATTAGTTAGGATCCAAACCAATTGTTTATATTCTTCATGTTAATATTTTACATACATAGTTATTTGTTATTAATTTACCTCAAAATAATTGTAGCTTATTCCCTTTTTTAAGAGGAAATTATAGTTGTCGGAGTGTAAACTCACGACACCGGGGATCGAGGACACCCTGTATTTGTGGTGTTCAGCAAACGCTCTAGGGTATTTGTTTCGCTGCTCTATGTGAACCTGGTTAGTTAGGGACCTTATTCGAATCCATCCAATTTTTATGAAACTTGTTACAAGAAATTCGGCAAATTTGATCATTTAGCCGAGGACCAAAAGGCCTTCCACCGCAACACGTGTGCCTATAAACTGAGGGAACACCGATCACGGTCGATTACAGAAGTGAAGTCAACAGCAAGCCACCATCTTCTGTTGGGCAACCCCGAAGACACGTCTCCCTCAAAGTCCAAACGAACGAGACACGACGACACACGAGCGCAGGCAGCAGCACGCGCGCACCAGCGAGGCAGCGATCAAGATTCAAGAGCACAGCGTGCGCATGGCTGCCGCCGCCACGGCCACGCCGTCGGCCTTGGCTCCGCCGCGCCCGCGTCCCCTCTCCTGCCGGGCGCCGCGCAGGAGGGCGGCGCAGCTGCCGCGGTGGACCGCGTCCGCCTCCAGGAGCGGAGCGCCATCGTCGTCGATGGACGCGACGGTGAAGGCCGGGAGGAGGCCGGGGGTGAGGGAGTACGTGGATGCGGCGCGGGAGATGGCGCGGCGGCCGGACGGCGGGCCGCCCAGGTGGTTCGCGCCGCTCGAGTGCGGCGGCGGCGAGCGCGTCCCCGGCGCGCCGACGCTGCTCTACTTGCCCGGTATGTATACGTATACGTAGGCGCATTTATTTCTTCTTTCTTTTTGCGCAGTATACGCGCATTTCTTCTACCACTCCCGTTGAAAAATATACACTTCGATCGGAGGCTCCGAGTGTAAAATTTCTACCGCACACGGTCAAAACGCACTGTTTGAGCACCGTCACGCTTCCAGATTCATGGAAACTTACCTGGATATCCTTTTTAACCGGAAAATGAATCTGCATCACCAGCCTGAGTTATTTTTAGAGACATATCTCGAAGCCTCGACCACATATTATTATTCATTCAAGCACATCAGCAGCAGTGCAGCAGCACTAAAATAAGTGGCATGATAATCGAAGATGAGCACTGCTTTTTAAACAATGGAGTGGATGGGTGGGCTTGCACTGTCACACATGGGCTCATGGCAGCCAATCTTCTTGACCTGCCAGATCGTGCCCAAACCATAAGCAACAGTTTAAAAAGTACGCACGCTTGAAAATCCCACACACATGCGTCGGTGCACGGGACCACGTGATGCTCAGTTTCTCACAATAATTAGCATGGAAAAACTGGGCTTTCTTCAGCAGTTGGTGGGCAGCAGGATCAGATGGACAGTGACTTGTACTACAATACAATGCTGTCCTATTCCTGGGTTCAGTTGTGGAGACACCGAATCAGGGCCTTGATTCTTTTGCCAAATTCAGATGTGTATGTGTACCAAAAAAAATGTTACTACTAGTGTGAAAATGCCAAACGGAGACTGAGCTCCATGGAGGCCTTAGTTTGAAAACATCAAAATTCAAACTTTTCAGTTTCAAATTTTTTTGAAAAAAAATACGCATATACCTAGTCCTAGATACATAATGCAAATTTTCAAGTCCAAATATGCTAAAATGAGATCTACACAAAAAAAAGACAAATCCGGGGCCTTTTAGCATATACTCCCTCCGTTCCAAAATAGATGACTCAACTTTGTACTAAAGTTAGTATTTGAGTCATGTATTTTAGAATGGAGGGAGTATGTGTTGTTCATCCTCAAAGTCCATGATTTTGTTCTTTTTGTGCAGCTCGCAATTCAAGGTATCTCATCATGAAATCTTACTCATACACATTACATCCTTGCATACATGTGTATTCTTTTTTCAGACTTTTTCAAACTGAAAATTTTGAATTTTAATATTTTCAAAATAAAGACCTTCATGGAGCTCGGTCTCCAAAATGCCCTACCCCTACTAGTGATCCTATGAACTTGTTGCCAAATCTCTCTTTTTGTGTGGCTGGTACCAACTGCATATGGCTGGATGATTGGAGGAGCTTCCAAACATTTTCTCATTGATCAAGTCACTTTGTTGTTCCTTGCCACCTGAAAAAGAAGAAATGGAATAACTGTCTTCAGTAATTGTGGTCTTGCAGGAATCGATGGAGTTGGCCTAGGGCTGGTCCGGCACCACGAGAGATTAGCAAAGTACGAGCAAATCATAAGGGATCCAAAATCGCCTCTCTGTTTATTCATCACTGCAGCTTAGTTAGTGACTGTTTCTGCTCTGCAGGATGTTCGACATGTGGTGCTTGCATATACCCGTCCAAGACCGTACCACCTTCCAAGGTGCGTCGACTTTCAGAACTGAACCAAAACCAAAGCCATGCTTCATCATTCTTCAAATGCTCATCTTGCAATCCTGGTTTGCATATCTGCTTTGAGGCCCTGACTGATCAAAAAGGCTCTGAAACTCCACCGATGAACGCAGGACTTGTCGAGCACGTGGAGAGGACGGTGAAATCAGAGAGCTCAAGGGCACCCGACAGGCCGGTCTATCTTGTTGGAGAATCCGTCGGAGCGTGCATTGCTCTTGCCGTGGCGGCGCGGAACCGAGACGTCGATTTGGTGCTGGTCCTAGTCAACCCAGGTCTTGCTTCAGTCACACTTACACCCAGGCTGTTTCTGCATTGTTCTGTTCTTTCTTTCGGTGATAGTAGCTGCTTATTGACCAGCCTGCGTTTTGGTATTCATTTTACAGGGACATCTTTCCACAGGTCACAGCTGCAGTCTCTCTCAGCACTCCTAGACTTGGTCCCTGATCCCTTCCATTCGAGCACTCCACGACTCCTAAATTTTCTCACAGGTTTAGCACCACCTCCATGAGGAAAATTTCAGCAGGCTTGAACTTGATGTGTACCTACCGATCACAGTAACTCTTTCAGGTAACTTCATGAAGATGTCGTCGAGATTTGATGGAGCTGGTCAGGCATTATCGGAGGTCGCCAGTGGTTTGTTGCCTTCTCTCATGGTGAGCTGCAAACTATGAGGAAATTGCTTCTCCGTAAATCTTTGTGTGCCACAGTCGTCATGATGCTTTTGCGCGCTTCTTTCTGCAGTATTTGGCTGATATTTTGCCGAAGGAATCCATTGTTTGGAAGATGAAAATGTTGAGGACAGCATCATCGTTTGTCAATTCTCGCTTACATGCAGTCAAAGCCCAGACCCTCGTGGTCGCTAGGTATGTATGGTCTCCAGTAGTCACACTCATAAAGTATAGCTGAGATCTGAGGAGAATGTTCCCTTGCAAATGTTAAGAAGAGCAGTGTCCAAATGCTTTTCATCAACTCTCTGCCACACTCCAATGATTCTGCTTTCGAGCATATTGCACTTGCTTAGACATATCTGAAGTTGGTAATCTTTTTTGTCAGTGGAAATGATGAACTCCTGCCAAGCCGCGAAGAGGCTGAAAGGCTACGTGACACGCTAAAGAAATGCAGAGTCCGCCACTTCAGGGATAATGGGCACAAAATCTTGTTGGTAATACAGATAAATAATCCTCACTGATAAAAGACATACAGAAACAGCCTATTATTTTGGCAATGTGTATGCAGTCATATCCTTCGCATGAACTTTAACCCCATTTCTTCCATGGTCCAAATCACCATTTGCATCAACCATAACATTCGACCTCTCTTAAGAAAGAAAATTCTACAGTGTTCGAGCATTTCAAAATTCTACCCTATAACTGCATGAAAACCTGACAGGAAGATGGATTTGATCTAGTGACAACCATTAAAGGAGCCGGAGACTATCGCCGCTCCAGGCAGACAGACTATGTTTTAGACTTTCTACCGCTGAGCGATGATGAGCTCGAAAAGGCGATCGATCGTGACAGGTACCATTCCTCTAAGGTTCAAGCTTGATGGGTTGTGACATGAGTACTGAACTGCTGTTGCATTTTCTGAAACTTCAGGCTCCTGACTTTTGCCACTGATCCGGTGATGTTATCGACACTGCCTGATGGGAAGATAGTGAGGGGACTGGCAGGGCTGCCAAGGGAGGGCCCTGTCTTGCTTGTTGGGTACCACATGCTCATGGGGTTTGAGCTTGGACCCCTGGTAACAGGAGTTCTGAGGAGTACTGGAATCCACATCCGCGGGTTAGCACATCCATTCATGTTCAACGAGAGTTCAGAGCAGCTCATACCGGATTCGTCGAACTACGACCTCCACCGGATCATGGGTGCGGTGCCTGTTACGGCGGTCAACTTTTACAAGCTCCTTTCAGAGAAGCAATTCGTTTTGCTGTATCCGGGAGGCGCGCGTGAAGCTCTTCATAGGAAGGTAAGAATTTGGTATAGAGAAGCATAATATATCTTTGGAGACAGTAAAAACATCGATTGTTCTGGAAGGTGACAGTTGTTTACAGGGCGAGGAATACAGGCTATTTTGGCCTGAGCAGTCTGAATTTGTGCGGATGGCATCAAGGTTTGGAGCAACAATAATACCATTTGGAGTGGTTGGAGAAGATGACATATGTGATGTAAGTGCCACCTCAAAAGTATGTTATCTTGCTCTGCTATTTCTAATGTACAGAACAATGTTTTTCACCTCAGTTGTTGTTAGACTACAACGATCTTAAGAAGCTCCCATTTTACGACATCCTTGACAAGAAGCTAAATGAAGAAGGGTTAAAGCTAAGGTATATTTTTATTTTATTTTAGAAGCAAAATTTTATTTAGTTTTGAATTCTCCCAAATGCTTTGCCCATAAGAAATCAATTATCTTGATTTACCTTGTTGTTTCAAAGGACTGATTCTACGGGAGAGATAAAGAATCAAGATATGCATCCTGTAGTGCTGACGCCAAAAATGCCAG